GGAGTGTAAGACCGAAATAAGTCGTTTCAGGTCGTCTGCTGAACTTTGTTTGTTGGAAGTCAAGAAACCTCCCAAACCGCTTGGCCAACCGACTCCAAACGTATCACGTACTAAATGTCGCAGACGAGTCGTGCAATGACCGAATGTGGATGTATTTACATTGAAGATGTAAATATGAGCCGAAATGTCGATTGTCAGAATATGTAAATATAAGCCGAAATGTCCATTGAAATATGGGCCGAGATGTCGATAGATGAACCGCCTTTCTGAGTTATGTATTAATATACGGTTAATGCAGTTTTTACAATGATCACCAAGCACGAAACAACTGTCATCTACCAGAACAATCTGTTGACATAGGCGAAAGACCATTCAAGCAAGTTGCAACTACATGTTCAGGACCTACTGAAGTCTGCATTCTCAGTCAACGCTTCTAGCAGTCAGATACATATATTAAACCAGATGTTGTCCACTTTGCAAATAGATTTGTTTCGACAAAACCATCCTTGCTATCACTATTTGGACCTTTACCTCTGCCATAGATGTTGTCGCCAATAAGCACCCACTGCGAATAACAGAATCGGTGAACATCCGGAGGTCTTTGCTGTTGAACCTATCTTGAAACTGTTTTCCTCGTTGCATCGTCTTAGTATTTCTGTCTATTTGTAAACAAAAAGATGCTACCTCTTGCTCAAACCAATAATTTCAGTGTAGTCTCCAATGTCGTGTGCGCCAAAGATTGCTCACTCGTTTGTCACAGATTACGCCAATCCTGCAAGTTCTCAACAGCGAAAGCATGCTTCCTCCTGGTCGCCCGATGCCCCTTACCCCGTATGGCATTCTGGAATATGTGCTTTCTACAGTACATCATATTTCGTCAGCGGCTGTGCATATCCGCTTCGATACCCTTGACGACATGCAATAATAGAAAGCTTAGCATTTGCGCTTAGCCAAGATTTAGTCCAAGATCAGAGGTATTTATTTGAAGTATTAAGTGCTACAACAACAGCTGACAACCTTGCCATGTAGACCATTTGTAACGTGTTCACTGCAGGTAAAATTGTCGGTCTTTGGCTTCAGTTTCTACGCTTAACAAATTCTATAATCACATTCGTCTCAAGTGCCTTCAAAATTTATTGGAAGCTTAAAAAAAGTTGAAAGTGTAACAGAACTTTTTAAAGAACTCATTTGGATTAAACAGCAAGGTGAAGAATGCAATCTTCCTACATTTTCTTTTCTTTATATGACGCGGTTCTACCCAATTAACCTTTGACCGTAATTTAAACTGACATTATATTACAATGGGTACAGTTTTCTCTGTAGTCGTTTGATGTGCGGCAAAATAATTTTCTCGAACAGGTGGTTTCAATGAAGAAAGGTTGAAGTGATTTGCTGAACGTAAACTCAGCTTTTTAATTTCTACTTTGCGATAAGAATGGTGGAGTTCCTTTTGTGCTAAACGACGAATACATTATCACATCGTTATCTCTATAAACAAAACAATTTTTTCGTTTAACTAAATACCAGACATAATGAATGCTGTTTCTTTTTCAAAAGGTGTGGTATACGTGACTCCTTAGCGTCAAAGACAGTAGGCACTTTTGGTAAGAGATAGTGTCTTTGAAGAGGTTTGCTCTGAACCTCTAAAAGGAACTTGACGCCATCTGATCCAGGGTAATGAGATTATGACAGTTCAGTATCAAACATTATTTTGTAATGTGCATAAAAGCAGCGACTATGTTTGGTGTTGTTTAAAGATACATTTGAATACATAGGCGAAAAACCACAAACTGAGATCAAACATTCATCCTATATCAAACATTCATCTTATATACAAATGAGATAAAATGTAAGCAAATACAGCAGTATTCGTCATTGATGCTCGGATGTCGATGATTTTCGCAAAATTTCATTGCGGACACGAAGAAGTCTTCTACAGTAAAAAAATCAACAAACTTTACAGAGGTCTTTCTGACGCTTTATAACACCAGCTATATATAAATATATTGAAGATAAACTCAAGGCTAAACAGTGAATGCTAATAAAGTATGAAAACTCATTGGCTTATAGAAATATCAACAAAATTATGAGAAACGGAATATACGGGAAAACCGTCTACTACGTCGTTTAGCCAAAACACCAATCAACTTGCCACCTCTTATCTATGAGCCGAACCAGCATAAACTTTATGTAAACTTGCTTAGGCAAAACTTACATCATATTTTAAAGATGTTCGTACATTACGACTGATTATTTCTACCAAATATTATGTTGTAATCTCTCTTTTTCTGTGGTCAGTTCTTCTAGAGCGATGGTCGGTTCTTCTATTGCCACTAACTTGTTTACTCTTGCAAAGACATCGCAGACTTCTATATGCGCTTTTACTCATTCGCTCGTCTTCCCACGTTTTTTGTGTTATTCTTGACATACACCTTGCTATACTACACTGCACAGTCTGCAGTTCATGACTAGCATTCAGATTCATTGACTGCGTTTTGCACCCATGGCCAAAGGCATAAAGACAAAAACGAGAAATGACAAATTACCCTGCGAATCTTTTTATCAAATGATAATCATGCACCGTGCAGTCTATGCATCTATTGAACTGAGCACCATCGTCGTGTATAGAGAAGTCGACAGAGGCCGGCGCACTTCGGTAGAACATGTGAACATTAGACAAAAGCACGATGCCACGTGGCTAAAAAGAACTTATGAATGCAACATCTGATGCTCGTAACACTGACTGACTGACCTTCAGACGAAGCGCACTTTCCCTATGGCAACCGTAGACGAACACGTCGACGGTTTTGTCTATAACCTCTTTGTGCAGTTCCTCGGCCATCTGAATGATGTCCAGCTGCTCAACTTCGAAATTAATTCGGCGCATGTCGCTAAAGTAAAATGAATTAATAAAAAATGTACCCTTTCAACGCCCGCCGAATTACAAAATTCTTTCAGAGGGCAGTGCAATTACAGCGGACGAGTCCAAAAATGAAGTCAACTGAAACTATTGCGCTTGCTGTACGGCAATTAAATATAGGTACACGATGAAACTTACGCCGGAGGGTCTGTTCCATCCCAGACGCGCAAAACCACAGCACCATGAGACCTGCGTGACTGGCCGACGGCCACCACTTGAACGATTAGGTTTGCGTATTCGCCGGCTTTCATGCGAGAGATGTCTGAAATATTGGCGAAAGTTTTTATCTGCTCGAGTCCAACTTTGTCCTTCCACTTCGTTAGGCGGCGAACCTAAAGCAATCAGTCACACAAACGTACTGCAACGGCAACAGACATCCAGTCTCTTAAAACTCTCATCACGTGTTAAACTCAGTGCACAAAACCTCATGTGAAACAAACAGAATTCATAGCGCCAGATGTCTTGTACAACCGTAGGCTCCGTGAATAACCGTTGTTGGACGACCAACCAGAAAAATCGTATGCAAAACCTGCACTGGTCCTCTGAGCGTCTTGAAAGAATTACTGCTGATTGAAACCCATAGATCTTCCGAGCAATGAACCATAACATTTCAATGTAGGTCCCCTCATGCCTAAGATCAGTTCCTTTGCCGAAGAAAGGTCAAATGTAAAAGTACCCTGGGTTACGAATAATGCAATAGCGCTCACAGTCACTGATGCATTAGCTATACAGTGTAGCTGCTATTGGCAAAATTGACCATTTTCAAGCATAATAGGCAGAGCATGCACATCGAGACAATGCCTAAGGCCTAGCCATAAAATAATCTTCAATCAACTCTTTTCGTCTGCTTAGTTCTCTAACAGTCCTGAAAGAAAATAACAGAGTGCCCAGTGGTAAAGGTCAGTTCTGGTCTGATTCACATTATAAGTATTTTTCCTATCCGAAGATGGTGCATTCAAAAACTTCGCATGCAATGAATGGTAACTCTAACACAGCGACAATTGTTTCCAGCTGACTGGTCATTCGGGCGATGGACGTTGCCAGCAATTCTATTAATATTTTCAAATTTCATAAGAAGTTAAAATGACTAATGAAAATTGGCTATAAGGCTACCCAATGACATCCTTTCGATTGAGGAATCTCCTTCCAGCAACCCAATGGAAGCCTTTAATGTTGTTTATTGCAGTTAATGTAACAGAATTTACCAAGTAAGGCATATAGTCTTCTTAACATCGGAGTAAAAAACATCTATTTGTAATCTACAACTTTCATGCCGAATACTCGGTTACTCTATTCCACCCTACTGGCACAGAACATGGCGTCAGCGAAGCGAGTATTTTGGCATTTTGGACAGTTACAAAACCGAATTAGCGGTAATAATCAGAGTTTCTTCATATTTTGGCACGAGAACATGTTAAAATGTTTCATGAATACTCTTCAGCCATCTTTTGATATACAACAAAACTGAGATGCTATGATTTTGCCACCGACTCACTCATGATCATGTTATTGATACTTTGCTATTGCGCCAAAACATATACTTGAGTTTTTATTTTACTTTATCGCAATATTACTGATGACGACAACGAAATACACTGATCGTTAGTAAAACGTTACCGTCTCTGTTTTACGCTGGGGATCCCCAATCATGCATCAACAAAACAGCCAGCTGATTGAATTTCATTGATCGAATGAGTTAGGAATTCAATATTAGACGATAAATAAATCAAATTTAAACAAATAAATACATGCATAAATTTTTAAATAAAAAATATATAAATAGAGTACTGTTGCTTCGTAACCTTTGGAAGAAGTTCAGAATTTTC